GTTGTTGCGTTTTATTTCGAGATATAGAAAGTAAAGTTAATAGACAGGACTTAAGACAAGCCTCTTGTATAAAGAAGTCATCATATACATGTAGGTATGTATGAGTGAATACGATCCACTCTTTCTATTGGGTCAATGGCTCAATAGCATAGATACCAAGCAACTGTGATGAGAAAGATGAAAATGAATTAGAAATTAGATAACCTTGCCGTCGGGCACGAAGAGGCAGGTGTGCTGTAAGGAGGTGCTCCAAACGGATGGCGACTCAAGTTGCAAAACTGAGAAAATTCACAGTCATGTGTGTTCTCATTTTCAACATTGCAACTGTGAAATTTTGATTATATGTATACAACGCAACAGTTAAGTCTCTTATTTATTGTNGGTTCTTTTAATGTATCCAAAACGAATTTTGTCATTCTTATTAGGTCTCGTATCCGAATGGAGTAACGTAATCCTATTGTCGACGTAAGATTATCAATCCAAACTGCTGGGGTCAGCTTATTTGAGCCAGATTAACAATTTGGGGGTGGAGGGAGGAACATTTAAAATAAAACACAAAATAAAAACAAATATTTTTTGAAATAGGTACAAAGGGGTTTATTCTTTTATAAAAGCTTATTTCTTATTATTGAGTTTCTTTTGTATTTCGTCGAAAGTTTTGTTCTTTGTTTCCGGTAGAAATATCAAAATAAATATCGAGCCAAGGAAACATGTGGAAGCATAAAACCAAAACATGGTGTAGGTGCCCCAGTTTTCGCTTATAGGTATATACAGGGACGTCACCGCAAATGCAAGTGGTGCTGAGTATAAAGAACTAAATGACGCAGCATAACCTACAAAAAAATAAATTTAGGTTACAATAATTCATTAGTAAGTTTTTAGTCGATATTTTGCAGAAATTGATGCTGACTGACCCTGTGAAGCTGACACCTTAACGCCCCGAAAATGAATGTCGAAAATGTTAAAATTAGGGGCTAATTTGGTGCCAAGGTAAAAATGAAATAGGTATTCAAGTATTCAATAAATCTGCCGTTTATACACCTGATTTTTATTGATAAATAAATGATATAATGCTAGCTTTATGTGAAGTTTGAATATCAATTTCATTTTATGAGTACCATGACACCGAATTGACCCCTAAAAAGCTCCTAATTTTGGCATTTTCGAAATTCATTTTCGGGACTTTGTGGTGCCAGGTTCACAGGGATATGGTGGTTAGTGTTTTTGTAAAACCATCAGACGCGGATTGCGATTCCAATCCAATCGGACGCCGAAGGCAATTTCGACAGAGTACAGATGCACTTCACCTGCTTCCTTAAACAGCGTTTTATGAATTTTTGCAAACAGCGTGGTAAACGCCATCTGTAGAACATTGTTACATTTACGGGAATTCAAAAATGTTCAGCAACATTCGTAAGGATATCGAGTTATTGAATTGAATCCACGGCAGGTGGCAGGTTAGGTTAGGCTAGGCTAGGTTATGACAGAACAGAATAAAAACTTTATGGTGGTCGAAATCGTCTGACGCCTACCGCGATTTTGATGTCATTTGATTTACCTTTAACATTCATCGTAAATAATTCTCCAATAATAATATAAGGTAAAGTTGAAACGCCAATAGTTATCATCACTTCGAAGATTACCAATGCGGTAAGAGGTATCCAAGAGATTGAATCGGTATTTCCCTTCACGGCTTCCAAAACATAGAAATAAGCTCCTTCACCAAACAATGCCACGGAACAACTGGATGCAGACAATAATAATAGCGGTTTTCTGCCTATTTTGTCAACAAATTGGCCACTTACTATAGCTTAAAATAAAAATAGAGCATGGTTAGCTAATTATTAATGAATTCCGACGGAAATCGTTAAATAACTAATTATTGAGAATAATACACCTTGTTATGACCTCTTGAATAAATTAAATATAAAAATAAGCGCAACGAGGGGTAAACCGCTGACACCATAAATCTTTTTCTATAATCTATAAATAATCCTGTTTCCTTTAGATTAATCCTCAAATCCGGGGAAAATCTTGGAATTCCGCTGCATATCCCATAAATAGTCTTTACAAATCAACAATAATTTTTCTAGTATTATAAGGAGTTATAATTATTACAGAACTTATTGAAATATTAAAATTAATGAAATCCATGTATTTAAATGGACCTTGTTCGAACATACGTAATTCTAAAATGTAGCATCGTACTACAGATGGCGTTTACTGAACCACTCGTAGTATTTTCTAATAATATGGTTTTCTTACATATTTTTTTCATCTCTTTCGCTATTGCATGTAGTTAACACCCTCCAAAGCTTGCTACTTATTTCAGAAACAACTTGTATAGTGAAATTAACACAATGGATAAATAGCAGGCACAGGCTGATGATTTAGAAGACTTCCTTTTGTGACTTAAAATATGTTCGACTTGACTTGCCACCTCTTTTATACTATTCATTAGTTTCAAAACTCTTTTACCTATAAGTTTCAACGGCGAGCTAATTATATGACCATATTGCCACCAGCTCCCTAGCTATGTATGGTGTTCATAAATAAAACGTTCTGGCTGTGAAAAATCAGTATTTTTAATGTCTGGTATTTTCATATTTACTGTTTCAACATCTTTACAATAGCCAGACATGAACTAATAATATATGTATATGATCTTCTTTTTTTTCAATTTTTAAAATTGATATTATACATTCGCAGTAAAGATAGAATGGCAGACTTTTGTTTTCCTATTTTTTATGACCTAAATTAACATTCCCTGTACATTTCATTGATGAGCAAATCATATAAATTTTTATACACATTAAAATGAAAAATCAATTACTCATTAATTCAGAGATATATACGTCTGACAATGAAATTTATCTAATAATCGCCAGCAAATGATTTAGTATGTTTTTTTATTATTATTAGTTATTAATTTATAATGCAGCGATAATAGTATGCGAGAAGTTCTTTCAAAACTTTGTAACATTAATAAAGCTAACTTCCTTTTTATTAGGAATGTGTTTATAAT